ATATGCCTTTTGAGTTGTGTAATTTAATATTTGGATACTTGATAATTTGTTTTATTATGTAATTGATAAAATGGTGATATGTATTAATGTTAGTTCAACCATATATTTAAACAGTCTGGGAATGTGTGGTTATAGTTCTGTGGGAGAAATAAATTGTCAGTGTTCACCAGCTTGTAAAAAATTAGTGTGAGAGCTTAAACATCTAAATAAATAATGAAATGCATTTAAAAAAAAAAAAGGAGTTTTAGATTCCATAGGTCAGATTTGGTCACTCACCCAATCTGCAAAGAAAGAGACAAGTAATGGTGGAGGCCAGAGAAAGATCTAATTAATGCAGCACAGGCATTTCCCAGGAAGAGGAAAAGTATGTATTTCAACTCATCTTCCCCTTACAGACATTTACTATAGGTTTAAATAGAGGGGGAAGATGTGGGGATAGAGGGAGAGGCACGCAGAATTATTACAGTCCCAGTCATAGATAAATTCTGGTGGAGGCCACATTTGGTCTGGGTAGCTCATTGTCTCATGATCTGTCAGGCAGAGCCTTGTTACTGCAAGAGTCATTGCTGTCTGGCAGGAGATCTGTCCAGCAGAGGCCCTGGTGTTCCTCTCCTCGGGGATAAGTTCCATTGTAAAGATGTTATCAGATCAGTCCTGTCCTTCCTGAAACCCAATGTGATTACAGGACAGAGAGAGACTCAGAGTGAAGGAGGCAGATCCAAAGTGGAGACAGGGATATCAAGCTTTTATGCTGCTTTTAGTTAATTTATGGGCCCACGTAAGGAGTCAGCGTTTTTCAGCAAAGGCAGTTTAAGTACCTGTTACAATGATATTACTATAAATGAAACTTGGCAAGTAATGGAGGCCAAGAGAACGACCCCATCTTTTCCCCTGCAATTCTGTCTCAGACAGATGCCAACGTCCCAACATTGAGTGCTGTGTGTCCTTTGTGATGTGATCCATTGCACATTCAGTTCTACCAGAGTGGAATGCCCCACTTTCTCCTCCTCCCTGACAACCGCTCTCCACCCCACCCTGCCATGCACACCCTGAATAGCAGTCAGGAACACTCAGGGCTAATAGAGCCCCGACACGGCTGTTGGGCAGCCTGCTGCCAGTGGACTCTGCTTTGGAAGCCAGCTGACTCACTTGGTCCAGCTGCTGTGTGGATGACTAAGGATGCTGAATGTGGTTTTATTGTTTCTGTAAATGACCCATTCCTTTTGAGAGCAAAGACAACAATTGAATTACTAAGAAATTAACTGAATAAGACACTTTAAACTAACCCAGAAAAGAGATGAATTTGTATGGTACTTAAAAAACCCAAGCCTGTCGTCACCAGTGAAGCTTCCAGACTCTGTTAGTATAAGCACATAGTTGTGGGCAGTACACAGCTTGAACCCATTTGGCAAATCAGTCTCAAATCCTAGTTGAAGAACTGCTTACTCCTACAGTACACATCTTGGCAACATTCAGCCTCCTAATTCTGATTAATGAAAACTAACAATTTGTACTTTTTCTGTCCACTTTTATTGACATTCATTTGGCCACCTCAGCAAAATGGTAGAATCAAAATGAACTCCTAGGTTCTGATTTACTGTATTTACTCCATGCTACAAGCACTGTGTTTATATGTATAAATGTGTATGTGTATATATATATAAATGTAGACACAGATATACACACATATATGTACAAGATAGAGGTTATTCATTGTTCTAGTGTTGGAAAATTTTACTTATGCATTCATTCCAAAAATATTTATAAAGTGCCTACTAAGTGCCAGACACTGCTGTACATACCACGATACAACAGTGACAAGACAGACACAATCCAAGCCCTCATGTGGCTTACTGGAGGAGTTACACAGTAAATAGCTATAGGACATGATGTGTCAAGCAGTAATAAGGGCCAGGAAAAAAGCAAACACATAAAGAGGGTAAAAGTTAGAAAAGGATGGCAGGAACTGTGGACAAATAGTTCAAGTGATCAAGAATCAAAGGAAATTGGGAGATATGCTTCGGTTCTTAAATTGCAACAGAAGAAGTGCACATACACATTAAAGAATGAAAAAGAGGGCTACCAGAGTGGTTCAAATGATAAATCACTTGCCTAGCAAGTGTGAAGTTTAGTGGTCTAAACCAACAACCATTTGTTATTTCTCACCCATCCTCTGGGCAGCTGGTCAGTAGTGCTGAAGTTGGGCAGGCTCAGTTGACATTGGCTGGGCTTGCTTACATCTCAGGGGATCAGCTGGTCACCTGCTGGTTTTAACAGGGTCTGGAGTCTTCTCTACGTGCGCATCACTTCACTCCAGCAGGCTAGACCAGACATTGTCAGGAAGAGGTAGAGGTTCAAGAGGGAGCAAACCCAGCCGGGCAAGAGATTAAGTGCAAGTGTGCACACACCCTTTGCACTTCCGCTTGCCTCACATTTGGTACCACTGGCAAGCTGGGTCACATTGCTGGGACCAGGGACAGAGTCAGGGGATTGAAGAATTATCTGCCAAAGTATTATTATAGACTGAACTGTGCCTCTCCCTTCAGTTCATATGTTGAAATCCTAACCTAAAATGTGACTTTATCTGGAGACAAAGTCAATTAAATTTCAATGAGTTTACAAGACTGGGTGACTAGTCCAATAGGATTATGTCCTTATAAAAGAAAGAAGAAAGAAAGACTCCTGTACCATTTGCATGCTAGGAAGAAAGTCCTCACCAAATTCAACTAATCTTGATCTTGGTATTTTAGCTTCCAAAACTGTAAGAAGATAATATATGCTGCTGTTGAAGTCACCCAGTCCAAGGCATTTTGTTATGGCAGCCTAAGCTGACTAAGACATGTGTGAACACCTGGAGGCCATTTATAGGAGACAATCATGCAATCATCCACCTCAAGAAGGAAGGAGGGAAGGGAGAGAGGGTGGCAAAGAGGAAGGAAGGAAAGAAGGAAGGAAGGAAGGAAAGAAAGAGGCAGTTGACTCTTTTTTCTAAGTTGAAAACATGAGTAAACTCCACTTTCCTTTATCAGAAAATAGGTCATGTGCTTTGTGACTTCTCTGCAGTCTCCATCTGTGACCAGAAACAATCAGGAGAGAAAGAGCATTGGGACCAAGGCTCATTTTATTCCAAAATTAAATAGAAATGATTTGGAGGTTTTCCATGCATGGAACAAAAAATTGTGTGAAAGGCTCTGGTTCTGCCTGGAGGACTCTCATCATAGCTTACTCTCTTCCTACCATAAAATGTCAGGCAAGCTTTAAGAGCAGATTTTTAAAAAGGGCATCTTGTTTAATAGACTTTGAGGATACTTGTACATCTCCCTGTCCTAAAATATAAATACAAATTGATTCTCATAAGCAAAACCTATCTTTATATATTTTGGCTTGAGTTAGTGCTTTAAGAAACTGTACCACATATCACTAAGGGCTGTTCGCTTGCTAGGCAAACACTGCCACATGAGCCACTCCACCAGCCCACTAAGGACTCTTCAGACTCAAGACACAATGTTATATCCCTGCTACGATGACAGCTAAGATAAGCATGACACAGCTCGTGCTCTCCTTTAGTTTACTGTTTAGTAAACAAAGGAACAAAGATGGAGGAAGAAAGATGGGGAAAAGAGTTGTATGTGTGCAGCTCTGAGGTGAATTTTGGCCTTTCCTCTATACATTTAGAGGAGTGGACCTGTGGCAGTCACAGAGTGAAGCCATGCCCTGGCAGGAGATAGGTAGGGTCTGGGACTGGGGGAGGGCGATAGGCCCACAATTAACATCCTGGAAGAGGAAGGCAAGTCTTAGGCAGATGGAAGAAGGTTCCAGTTCTCCTTGGCTTCTCTGGAAGCCTGAACGTCAAAAGGTCCAGTGGCAGTGTACTTGAGATTGTAGAGTCTCATTGTGATAACACCCAGTGTAACTCCGAGACTCCCTTCCTCCCTTTGCAGGGAGGCTAAGGAGTGCATATCACCTCTTCTCAGAAGAGCCAGCCCGGGGCACTGGCAGAGTCACTGTCATAAATGCCCTTGTTGTGGAGCCTCCTCCACACCTGCCAGCCCCTGGCCCCTGGGCTTTTCCTTTGGGGGCCATGCTGCTTGCACTCACCAGTCTTAGCACCTCGGGGAAGAGGAGGCTCTCCTGGGGTGGAAAGCTTTGTAGGGAAGACAGAAGACAGCCAGGTGGACAAGTCTTAGGCTGGACTCCTGCATAGGAGGGACAGAGATGGGGATTCCTGTGGAAGTGACTTACTGGGAAGGGAGGGAAGCAGGAGTGAGGAACAGAGTGAAAGCGGGGAGGGAGAGAGAGAGCCTGCTAAGCAAGGGGCTCTGCGGGACTCTGGTTTCAGCCTGGGTCAGGAAGACACTGCAGTGCATAAATTGCACCACCTTGAGGCCAGGGGTGGTGGCCCTCTACTCTGGGGCCAGTCAGTCAGTGCTGTGTGCTACCCCTTACCAGACAGGAGACACCATTCTCTGTTCTCTGGAGGGGGGGAATTCCCTGGAGAAAAGAGAAGCTGGAAGCTGTTCGCAGCAGCTGGAGGAGGAAGGCATAGGGCAGGGAAGGGACTCTGGGCCCTTGGAGTGTCACCAGAGAAAAGGACCTGTATGTAGAAAGAGCACAGTGTGGGGGAGGCCCTCATTTTAAGGAAATATGGCAGAGAAAGGAACACCAAAGAATATATGGAATATGAGGCTGGATCCAGCCCCCTGGGAGGCTGAGAAATTCAAACCATGATCATAGAAAGAGATAACCAATCAGTAAGGTTCACAAAAATGGAGATGGCCAATCAAAAGTGGCCTAACTTGTATGAAACTAACTCTAAACCCTGCCTTGGTGTACCATGCTCTTTTGCATAGCTTCCCATCATTCTATCCCCTTTCAATGGTGTCCTAATACATCTTTGCTTTTTCCCATTCTCTGTATCAGTAAATTGTTTTGCCAACTTGTGGCTCCCCAAATCTATACACACAGCATGTTCAGAGCCCTCACACTGGGTACAACTGAGTACCAAGTGAAATGATACCATTGAAAATACAGCACAGTCATGAGGCACCATCGAAATGTTCCATGTCTAGCCAAGTATCATGGTACATGCCTGTAATCCCAGCACTCGGGAGGTTGAGGTAGGAAGTTCGAGAATTCAAGGCCAACCTGGACTACATAGTGAGTTTGAGGCCAGCCTGGGCTACATAGTCAGACCCTGTCTTAAAAAAAAAAATAGTTCCCTGACTATATTTTTCACAGGGTTGATGATAAGAGTATGTAAGGTACTCCAGGCATAAAATGTTACTGTGTAGACTAGGAAAGCCTACACAAGATTCTCTAAGATGTATTTTCGATGGTCACGGGTACATTAAAATAGCATTTGTGGATTACATCATGCACCAGGGATAAGACAGTCCTCACAAAAGTTCAAGGGCTAGTGAGATCTGGTGGAGTGGCTCAGGTGGTAAGAATGCCTGCCTAGCAAGCATGAGATGAGCCCTGAGTTCAAATTCCAGTACAGCTAAAAAAAAAAAGGTCAGGGCTGGGATGTAGCTCGGTGGTACAGCGCTTGCCTAGCATGCGTGAGGCCCTGGGTTCGATCCCAGCACCAAAAAAGAAAAGACAAAAAAAAAAAAAAAAAGGTCTAGTAAGGGAAACAAACACTACACAACCACATAAATCATGCAGATACATACCAACTGCAACCATGATGAACATTTGGAAAGGCAAGAGCAGGATGCAAGAGTAGCATGGTGGGATTGGGCCCAGGGCTGGAGCTATTGGGAAGGACTCCCTGGGCAGGAGCTATTAAACCAAGATAGGTAGAAGAATAAAGTAACAAAATTCATGGAAGCCATGAGTTGGGAAGGATGTCAGTGGTTTTGAAGGAAAGGGAAACTCATGGGTCTGGAGCAGGCAGATGGGGAGGGAATAACTATAGAGACTTGATTTTTAAAAGTACCTGGAACCAGGCTTGGTGTCACATACCTGTAATCCCAGCACTCAGGAGGCTGAGGCAGGAGGTTCATGAGTTCGAGGCCAGTCTGGGCTCTACAGTGAGACCCTGTCTCAAAAAACAAAATAAAACAAAAAACCTACATGATAATGCTGTCCTAAATGGAGACTTGTAATTCATTTACTTCCTCTTACCTTCTTTTGGATGACCAGTTATATGTTTTCAATAGATAGTAACATTTGTTACAGATTGCCACCATCATGCAAATCACTAGGTTTCAAGTAAGATGTATTTATTTTATTGTTCACCCACATCATAAATTCAGTACATTCTTTATCTAAAACACCTTTCCCCGCATGTCCTTAGCATTTATCCTGGTCTGTACCATATGATGTCACAGTAAACGATAGCAATTGCTCCTTTGTGACTCACTCTGTCCCCGTGTTGTCTTATCTCATATTTATCCTTCTAACAGCCACTGGAAAACTCCATTCCATTTTTATTATTCCATAAATTAGAGCCAATGTGGTCAGGTAACAAACAAAAATGGAGGCATAGCTACAGAAAGAGAGGAAACAAAATTACACATAATTGCAGGAAAGATGATTCTCTCCTCCTCCACCACGAATCACAAGAGAGTTAGCTAAAAAGCAAATACAGCTACTAGGAGAGTTCAGGGAGGTGACCAGATGGAAAATGAGTAGAGGACAATCGCACACTGTTCTGTTCATCAGCAATACTCAGCTTCGTAAGGGAGATGGAGTGCCATTGACAAGAGCTCAGTACTCAGGGCTATGGTCTAAACATTCACATCCCCCCGCCAGATTCATATTTGAAATCTAATTACCAACGCGGTGCGGTTAGGAGGTGTGGCCCATGGAAGGCGATGAGGTCTCAGACTTCTCAGCAGTGGGGTTGCTGCACTTGTAAGATAAGCCCAACAGAGCTTGTTTGCCCTTCCTCCAGTGAGGTCACAGAGAGACAAGGCGCTGTGAATGAGGAAGTGGCCCTCACCAGACACAGGATCTGTTGGTGCCTTGATCTTGGACTTCTCAGGCAGTAAATTTCTACTGCTTATAAACTATCCAGTTTGTGGTATTTTGGTATAGCAGCTCGTACTGACTGAGGCACTCAGGCCTTAATGCGGAGATGATGAGACGTGGACACTTGCCTGAAGTGGACAGAGTGAGTAAAGAGCTGATCTGTGGAGCTAGACTGCTGGGTTTAAGTCCTGGTTGCCCTTCTTCATAACTGAGGAACTTGAGGCAGGCCACCTAGCTCTCTCTACATCAGTTTCCTCATCTGTAAAATGAAGGTACGAATTGTACTACCTTAAAGTTACTATGAAATAAATGCACACAGCGTCAGAGCCATCCTGGCAGGGAATAAGCACTATAGAAGTGTTTTGTATTATTATTATTATTATTATTGTCAACCCTCAACCATATTTTGTCACCTGTCCTGAAAATTTACCGTAGTCTCTCAGTGCCACAAATTCTTCTATGAAACCCGTTTCATTGTCTCCTGGCCTCTATCCCTTTGATTAATAGAGGGGTTCAGGCCAAGGTCAAGGCCACGGCCCAGCTTTCTTCCCTTATTATTTTCCCCTCCTTAGTAAAGAGCATTTTCTCCAAAAGCAATCAAGGTACTCAAAGGTGCAACTCAGCACCCACCAAACACCACATTTGGGAGTCTCAAATTCTCAGTTCAGCCACTCAAATTAGTCTCAGACAGGAGAGGATCTTTGCTTCATAAGTGCTCAACAAAAATTTCCGGTTAGTGTAACTCCAGGACCAAAACAGTTACTCCACAGGCAGATTGGAAATGACAGGAACTGTTTGTTTTTTATCTTCTTAATTATCAAGCTTTCAAAGCTGTTAGGATCCAGGTTTCAGCATAGGCACAATAGACACAGGTGTCCCTGCTTTCCTGTTCCAAAGGCTTTCGGGTAATGTAATGACTATGTCAGGATAGTTTTGCTCCTGGAATCTAAAGATGACAAGGGACTGATGGTATCTGCTACTTGAAGGCAGGTCAGGATGCAGAGGGACCCCCAAGCTAAAGATGACTAGTAAGATAGATGGCCTGGTGCTGTTTTTCTCTCTTCCTTTACTTCCCTTTTGTTATCCTGAGCTGTTGATAACCTTAAAAATAATCTTCCAGCCTGTTCTCAGCTGTGCCAAATGAATTAAGCAAAAGGTTGCCTGTCCTCACCTTTGGGCTGAACACTCAAAAGTAAAGCAGAGGCCCCTGCAGCCGCCTGTAGGTGAGAACAGCAATTGGTAAGAAAGCCCCAGGAGGAAAGTGAATTCTAGTAGGAGTCGGGGCTTTGAGGTCCAGCCAACTCTCCCTTCTCAGCCATTCCTCCCCCTTAGCCAGCCTTAGAGGATCTGGGCTAGGTTTTATTAGGCAACCATCTGGTTCCCTTACAGCACAAACCCAAATAGCATTCAAACAAGGGACAGTGTTATGAATCAGTACCACAGGGTGTCAAGGGTAAGTGTTACGAAAATTCAAGGGAAAAAGAAACCATTTCTATCTGTTAAAGGATGAGGCAAGATTTACAGGAAAGATAATGTTTGAGGGGAAAAAATAGAGGGTTGAATACTCAAGGATTTACGGTCTTTATAAGAAGGCCAATCCAGCACTGGATGGTAGCTTCAGGAGGTTACAAAGGAGCTAGTAATGAAGTGAAAAAGTGTTCTGTTTCTGCTCTGCCAGCCTCAGTATGTGACGTCCATCCTCAAGGTTGCTTCATTGTCAAGATGATTGCTAGCACCCCAGTCCTCAAGGCCATATTCTAGACAAGAAGAAATGCAAAGGCTCATATTCCTTACTGAATAATTCCCTTAAGCAGCTTCCTTCAAGCTACAGGCAACACTTTATTTGCAATGTATTAACTAGACTCATTTATACAACCACACTGAGCTGCTGGAGTCTTTAGCTGGGGTCCCAAATAATATTGTGGCCCCAAATAATATTGAGAGTCTGTGCTTGAGGGAGAAGGGGAAATGGGCACAAAATCTCAACCAGTGGCTCTTGGCCCAGGAATTCTTGAAGATTTCTAAACAAGTAACAGTATCAAGCAAAATGCCACAAAGAAGATCCCTCATAGGCCAGGAATGAAACGGAGGACTAGGTGGAACCCATCTCTAGTTTGATAGTACAAGGATTTCTGCAGATCTGTTCTCCAGCAACACAAGCAGAGCTGATGAAAGCCTTTGTTTTGAAAACACCCACTTAAAGTCTCTGGAAGATGTCCTAAGGGCATGCCACAAACAAGCAAACATTTATCCAAGTACATCTATTAGGCTCTGTAAGAACAGTAAGCACATCTGGGTGTGGTGACGCACACCTGTAATCCCAGTGCTTGGGAGGCTGAGGCAGGAGGATCTTGAATTCAAAATCAGTCTGGACAATACAACAAACTTCTGTGTCAAAAACAAAAACAAAATAACAACAAAAAAGAGCAAGCCTCTGTTTCATTTGAACTATGACCCACTCCCTCCTTCTCTTTACCCCATTTCTTGATTAATGGAAGCCTCAAGTAGGAGTGGCCAAGAAGACAGTGCTCCCTCTCCCAATCAAGTTACCAGAGTTCACTGAGCAAAGCAGGACACCATCATTTCTCAGTAGAAATGGCCAGTTTCATGGTGAGCTCTTCCCGCTCCCCCCACCTGACTCTTATCCCATAGGATGAAGGGTTTCTCCCAAGCATGACAAAATAAAAATGCCAGAGCCTCAATCACTTTTTTTCCTACTTTGCTCATTTGTAGTACAAAACCAAGTCAAGAAGAGTAGAGGCTACCACCTACCTACCCAGCTGTCAGAGCAGTGGCTCAGAGATTTTTGCATAAGAAAAAGAACTCAGCTCACCTTTCATCCCAAGCTACATGGAGGCTGAGATCAGAAGGGTCATGGTTCTAGGCCAGTCCAGGACAAAAAAAAAAGTTCTTGAGACCCTGTCTCAATAGAAAAAGCTAGGCGTGATGGTGCACACGTCATCCCAGCTACAGAGGAAAGAGTAAAATAAAAGGATGGCAGTCCAGGCTGGTCTGGACAAAAAGTAAGACCCTATCTCCAAAACAACCAGAGAAAAGAGCTGGAGGCATGGCTCAAGTGGAAGGGCATCTGACTAGCAAGTATGAAACCCTGAGTTCAAACCTCTGTACTGCCAGAGAGACAGACGGAGAGAGACAGAGAACTTCAAAGCTTTGGTAGAAGGAACTGATTTTACTTCAAACTGTGAGAGGTAGTTTACTCTCACAGGAATGTTCTAGAAAGAGTGATAAGCAAGCTGGGCACGATGGCACACATGTCTGAAATGCCAGCACTTGGGAAGCTGAAGCAGGAGGATTGTGAGTTCCTGGACAGCCTGCCTGGTGAGGTCCTGTCTCCGAAACAAACAAGAGCAATAAGCAAAACCACAGCCTAACTAGTTCAGCAGAGGGAACTAAGAAAGACACTCGAAGAAGAGTCCTCCTCGGGTCAGAATGAGCATCAAAGACTGGCCTCAAACTAACTCCCAGGGGACTTCTGGGAAGGTGCTGGAGAAGGGGGCACCAGAAATCTGTCTCTATGCCCAGTCAACAATTACTCCCTCAGAATCTGTCTGCTGTACTATTTTGGAATCCAGAGTCTGTAGAAGGCTTTTTTCACTTTCAGGTGAAGACATGGAGGGTAAATTAATTGACTGCTAATTTTGGTCAATTTCAGCCGTTAGCACAATAGCAGTTACCCATCCTCCACTCCTGTGGCAGGCAGCCACTCACATGTTCCTGGAGCAGCTTGCACACAGCGTGTGGGGGGCAGGCTGGGCAGAAAGGAGGCTGCCCTCCAGATACCAGTGCTCTCTGACTACAGAGATGCAGACTAAGAAGCAGGTACCATGCTGTTGCAGCTTTCCCAACTGTGGCAAGCACCTGCACCCTGCCTCTGGCGGAAGTGACTTCTAGGGGACTTAAAGGGCCAGTTCCTAGCCCCCTTCATTTTTCTTTTTCTCCTTTGGGAGCCAGACTCTGATGGCTAAGACATTCAATAGCAGTCACACATGCATGGAAAATTTAAGTCACCATGCATACCAGGGAAAGAAACAGGCTCAGAAAACACTCAGAGAGAATGTATGTTTACACTTCAGCACACAGACTGTCTACAACGATTAAAAAGACAAAAACAACAGTGAAAAGAACCAGAAAAGTATGGTTCATTCAAAGAAAAAAAAAAAGTCCACAGAAATTGTCCCTGAAAAAAATCTACATGACAGAGGCTTTAAAGCAATCATCTTAAAAGAGGCCCAAAGAACTAAAGGAAAATATGAAAAAAGTCACGAAAACTATGTATTAACAATATGAAAGTATCAATAAAGAGATAGACATTAAAAATAAATCAAAAATAAATTTGGAGTCAGAAAGTACAATAACTGAAATGATGAATTCACTAGAGGCAAAGGCAAATTGAACAGGCAGAAGGGTCCATGAATGTGAAGATAGAACAGTTAAAAACTTACTGATTCTGAGGAACAAAAGAAAAAAGGCTGAAAAAGTGAGCCAAGCCTAAGGAAAGTGTGAGGCAACATCCCCTGGACCAAACAACCAACATGTACACTGAACCTGACAGATTGACAGAATGTATAATCACAAACCAGAAAATACAGTGCGGAAAAATGAATGGGCCTCAGAAAACATGGGTTTTATTTAAGCACACTAATATGTCTGTTAGAAGTACAAGAAGACAAGAAAAATTGACAGGAGCAGAAAAAGTATTCAAAGAACTAATGGCTGAAAAGTTCCCAAGTTTACTGAAAAGCATTCATTTATACATCCAGGAGGCTCAACAAATTCTAAGCAGGATAAATACAAAGGACCACATGCAGACATAGCACAGAAAAAATACTGGAAGTCAGAGATGAAGAATAGCTTGAAAGCAGTGTAAGAAAAACAACTTGCAAGGAAGAGAAAACCAACATTAACAGCAGACATACTAGCAGGAAGGATGAAGACCAGAAGCAATGAGATGCCATTTGCAACATATTGAGGAAGGGAAAAAAAAAAAAAACAGCAAAGGTACATTTTAAAGATGGAGGTGAAAAAAAATACAAATAAACAGATACAGAGAGATTTTATTCCCAGCAGATCTGTCATACAGGAAATACTAAATGAAGTTTCTCAGGCCAAAACTAAGTAAAGCAAAATGGAAATTTAAATTCACAGGAAAAATAAAGTTCATCAGTAAAAGCAAACATGTAATTATAAGATATGGTAAAAATTTATATTTTTCTTCTGATTTAAGAAATAATTGTATAAGATAATATGTAAATAACTATATTGTCAGACCTATAAAATATGTTTCTAAAATATAGAAATGACAATAATAACATAGGGGATGTGGGTAACAGCAAAGTTATAGTAGAGTGAAGAAATTATACCAGAAGTTAACTCAAAATTTCAGAAACAAAGAGAACCAGAAAGGTAAATGGGAAGGTGAATATCGCAAACTATAAAAATATACCTGCTTTCCTCTCTTTTCACAGCCACTTTAGTAGACAAAATTATTAAGGTAACACTTTCAACAATGCATTGTTGGGTTTATAACATTTATAGAGGATAACATGTATAACAATCATAGCCCAAAAATGGAGAACAAGAAATAGAGTTATATAGGAGTAACATTTCTACAATTTACTGGATCAAATTCTGGTAAGTTAAAAAAATTTGCATTTTGTAAGGCCTAAGGACTACAGCAGAGATAAATGAATTATAGAACAGTAGAGAGAATTAATGACACCAAAAGTTAGTTCCTCAAAAAGGCCAACGAAATTGACAAACCTTTAGCCAGAATGACCATAAAAAAGAGGAAAAAAGATTCAAATTATTTAAATATGAAATAAGAGGGCATTACTACTGGCTTCTCAGAACTTAAAAGAGCTGGGCACCACTGACTCACACCTGTAATCCTTACTACTCAGGAAGCAGAGATCAAGAGGATTGCAATTTGAAACCAGCCCAGGCAAATAGTTTGTGAGACCCTATCTCAAAAAACCATTCACAAAAAAGGGCTGGCGGAGTGTCTCAAGGTGCAGGCCCTGAGTTCAAGCCCCAGTACAAAACAAAAACAAAAACAAAAACTTAAAAGAATATAATGTAATATTATGAACAACTGTATGCCAACAAATTTGATAACTTAGATGAAATGGACAAATTCCTATACAAACACAAACTGCTTAAACTGATCCAAGAAGAAAAATTCTAAAAATATGTGGTACAATAATCAAATTATGGAAACATCCAAGATGCCCCACTACTGACGAATGGATTAAGAAAATGTAGTATTTGTACACAATGGAATTGTACTCAGCCGTGAAGAAGAATGAAATCTTGTTATTCACAAGTAAATGGATGGAACTGGAGAACATCATCTTGAGCGAAGTTAGCCAGGCTCAGAAGACCAAAAATCGTGTGTTCTTCACATATGCAGACTTTAGATCTACAACAAATGCAGAAATATTATTGGACATGGGTCACACGCTAGGGGGAGGGCACACATACAGGAGGAATAGGAAAAGGTAGGAAACCCAAAACTTGAAAGTGTTTGATATGCCCACTGCAGAGGAGCTAATATAATAACCTTAAAATGACAGAGGCCACTATGGGAAGGTGACTGGGAAGAAGTGAAGAGGTCTGGTAGAGATGAATCAATTTGGGTTGTAATACACTTGTGCATGGAAGCAATGCTAGGAATCTCTCTATAGCTATCTTTATCTCAAACCAGCAAAAATGCTATGTCTTTCTTATTATTGCTTATGTCTTCTCTTCAACAAAATTGGAGAAAAGGGCAGAACAGGTTCTGCCTGGAAGTGAGGGGGGTGGGGGGAGAGGGAAGGGGCTGGGAGGGGGCAGGGGGCAGGGGGCAGGGGGCAGGGGGAGAAATGGCCCAAACAATGTATGCACATATGAATAAATTTAAAAAAAATTTAATGTGTGGTGTATCTACAAATTTATTATTCAGCACCAAAAAAAGAAATGAAGTATGGCAAACTCTATAGCATGTATTAACCTTCTAAAGATTATGCTAAAAAAAGAAGCCAGGCACAAAGTTCCATATACTATATAATTTCATTTATATGAAACGTCCACCTGGACTTGGTGACTCACACCTGTAATCTCAGCTGCTTAAGAGACAGGATAAGGAGGATCATAGTTCAAGGCTAGCCTGAGCAAAAAGGTTAGCAAGATACCATCTCAACCCACAGCTGATCATGGTGGTATACCCCTGTCATTCCTCCTACATGGGAAGCATAAATAGGATTGCAGTCCAGTTATGCATGGGCAAAATGTGAGACCTATTCCAAAAATAACTAAAGCTGGGTTGGAGGAGTGGCTCAAGTGGTAGAGTGCCTTCACTGTTCTGCAAGAGTTGGATTTTGGTTCTGTGACCACTACTTCTTAGTGGTTTATTTTCTAATACACAGTTCTTAAGAACCGTCCTCGTGGAGCTTCCAGTCTAGCAGGGGAGACAGACATGAACAGGTGCACAAAGCCACAGTGGAGATATAAGCACTATAAACAAAATGAAGCCAGTGAGGGAAATACATGGGAGTGATCTTACACATAACACAGACTGCTCTGAGGAGGTGGCGGGTGGACAGCAGAGACCTGAACGCCTCAAAGTATGAACTCTGTGATGCTTGGTGTGAGCATCTTGGGCAGAGGAGCTCTTCAAGGTAGAAATGGACTTGAGGCCTGAGGAAGAAGATGAGTGGAGCAGGCAGGGAATGATAGGTATGGAGTTGAAGAAGCTGGCAGGGGCCAGGTTACGAACTAGGCTCATGGTTAAAAAATGCAGTATGAGTGTGAAGTTTGTGGCACCTGTAATGGGAAGCTATGAGGGAAGGTTTTAAACAGGAGTGACATAATCTGATTTGCATTACAAAAAGAGGAGTGGAAAATGAAGGATATTAGGTAATTATGGTAGCAGAGTGTCCCAATAAAAAAGTGTCCTTTATTTGGACAGGAATTCTTTACAGATGCAATCGAGTTAAAATAAGGTCAATAGGTTGGGCCCTAATCCAACCTAGTGTTTTTGTAAGAAGAAGGAAATTTGTACACAGACTCACAGACAGAATGTAATATAAAGACACAGACACAGAGAGAAGAGAAAGTCACATGAAGACAGGAGTTTAGAGTTATGCAGCTGCAAGTTAAGGAGTGCCAGGGGCTACCTGAAGCTGGGGGAGGCAAGGAAGGATTCTCCCTACAGATTCCAGAAGGAAGATGGCTTGCGAACACCTTGATTTTGAACTTCCAGCCTCCAGAACTGTGAGGCAATAGATTTCTGTTGTTAAAGCCACAGTTTGTAGCATTTTGTTTGCTGAAAGTGCAAGGAAGCCAACAAGGTAGCTATTGCAGAGATCCAAACAAGAGAAGGTCCTTGGACAGGGAGGCAGCAAGACCAGGTCTGGTGCCTGAAGTATTTTGAAAGTAGATCTAACAGAAATTGTTAATACATTGGGTTGGGGTGGCAGGTGCAAAATGGAATTAATTGACCAGACACTTGCTTGAAGAACACTTTGCAAGGAATTCTAAGACCAAAGAAGAAGTCTTTAAATTTGGAGGGTACAGGGAAGAGATCAGTCCATCTCTTGAGGTGATGGGACCTGGTGATGGGCCCAGGAATAACAACCAGCTGCTAAGTGTCTTGCCTGTGTGGAGCAGTATTAAGAAGGCCAGTCTGGAATACACTAAAAATAAATTGACAAATTAGCCACAAGCACATCAGGGGCTGAGCACACCCACCTGTCTTGACATTCAGGAGTGTCACTGTGGGCGGAATTGTTGCCCAAGGCGGTTGCCACCGCTGTGATTGAAAGGCATCCCAAAAGTACAGGGGTTACAGACAGTGAGAGTCACCTGCATAGGCACCACAGCAACCATGCCTGTCTTTACTCATGAGAAGGTAGCCCCCCTAGCCATATTGGGACATTTAATCCCAAGGAGCTTCAGGCAGATCCTGCTTCTCTGTAGCAACCCTGTTGATGCAAAGCCAACAGCCATCACCCAGCTGCACCAGTTTCCCCCTGGGAGGCCTGCCAAGTTAATTTGATTTGTTGTTGGGGGGAGGCAGGTGTAGAGGGGGTGTCTGGAAAGTAGCTAGCAGAGCCTGTCAATTATTGGTTATTTGCTACCTGCTAACATTATACCACCTTTTTTACCTTTGACAAGGATCCCCTCAAAGCCCAACTGCCTTATTTACAGATGAGGAAGCTGAGGGTCAGAAAAGTCTAGCAAGTTGTCCAGTGTTCCAGGCTCAATGCTCCTAGCAACGTTGTGAACCGTCCCTGAGGACCCTGGCCCTGGGTACAGCTGTGGTCAGAAAAGGCAGTCACATGACAGGAGTTGCCAATCAAGTGTGGCACTGAAATGAAAGGAAAAACACTGTCCATCTGCCACAAGGCCAACATAGGAATAGCAGCAGCATTGACTCTCTCACCTAGCCCTGGTCTGGGCTCCTTTGTAAGAGGGTATCCATGCCTCTCCTGTGGTTGCCATGAGGGGTAGATGTTCTCACTTCTTTCTTTGACCTTCAGTGTCTGCACGTGTGTCTGGCACACAGTTAGTGCTCAGTTCTCTTCTGCTGTAAAACTGATGCTAATGGGTGGAGAGAGATGCATCAGGAAGGAGGTAACTGAGAACAACCTCCACCATGCCTTTGCCCAGGCAGCCCTCCCTTCCTCTCATGCATTTTTTAATCCTCTGTCCTTTAGAATTGATTACAAAATGTTCAAGGCTGAAGCACCTCCTGGGCTTTTCCAAGTTCTTTATCAGGAGTGCTGGCCAGTGTGCCAGCTCCCCACTTTCTTGCATTGAGCCTGGCTCTTCAATACCATGACTACTGCTCAAGCAGCCAAGGTGTCTTGGTTCTGAGCTCTAATGGATACTGGGCAGCTGAGCCTCAGAGAATCAGCAAAATTGCTTTGGAACACAACAGAGCACCAGCATCCACTCCCTTCTACCTCAGCCCCCCAGGCTTGGCTTCTACACATTGCGTACACCTGTCAGCTGCCCTCCAGTGAACTCTGCCCACCTCTGGGCAGAAGTGTGGCCTGCACACAGTGAGCTACCCAGGAAGAGCTTCCATCCTGGGGAGTTCTCTGCAGCGTGAAGGTCAGACCAGATGACTAAGAAGACCAAAGACCGACACAGCTTCATGCCCAGCCCACGCCCTCTTTGTTAGAGTCAAGAATGTTCCCAGAGCTCTTCTTCTGACTGCAGGTACATGCCTGACAGCCTGTCCCCACCCCTGCAAAGGATCCACCATGAGTAAGTATGCCTCTGCCCTGGGTTCGGTGTGTGCAGCCCTGGTGTGGAACTGGGTTAGAAAGCTCCTGATTCTCCATGTTGCTGTGGCCGGAGCCCTTGCAATTTCTCTGTCGCCTCCTTCTTGAACTCAGATTCTAAACTCAGCCGTTAGGATTTACACAGCTTTGTACCACTGGCCCTGCCTATTGTAACTCCTGCATCTATGGACTCAACCAACCATGGATCAAAAATATTTGAAAAAGTTGTTTCAGTAATGAATGTGTACAGACTTTTTTCTCGTCATAATTCCTTAAACGATATAGTAGAACAGATATTTACATAGCATTGACATTATATCAAGTATTATAAGTAATCTAGAGATGATTTAAAGTATACAGAAGGGTTGTATAGACTATATGCAAATATTTTGCCATTTCATATAGTGAACTTGAATATCCATGGGAGTCCTGGAACCAACCTGCAGGTTCAGCGGTATATCATTGTCTAAGTTTCCAGACAACCACAGCAACACCTTAGTGCTCAGGCTATCAGTCTCTCCCCTGCCCAACTAACCATCCAAGTCGAAGCCCCTGGATGGGACAATCCACCGTTGTTCAACCTCTCGACCAGTGGCTGTGTCGCAGGAGGCTGCCATTCCTCTCCTTGCCCACACATATCCACATCTCTCTAGTGGTCACATTTTGGCAGGAAAAAAAAGGAAAGGACAATATGTGGTAACTGGACACACCTTGAAAAACTTAACAAGACACAGTAGTGTACAAACCAATACCTAGTCACCTTTATTGCATGAAGATAGCCCTTCTGTATTGCCCTTCTGTCCACTGTCTTTTGATTCAACCCAGAAAACCTGTCCAGCTTCAGGGTCAGTTAGCAAAACTCTTTTCCCTCGACTCTTATGACAGGTACACAGAGGTGACCCATGATTTCTAGAAGTTTGGAATCTAAAATAGAAAGGCAAATAAAGGCCAGTTGAATAAACCATTAGCCCAAGGTCAAGCAGGCATGAGGTTCGATACCACCAATGGTCAGCAATGTGCATGAATGGGGAGCAGGCTGTTGACAAATGAGGTCCTGAGAATGACCTGATGAATGAAGCTGTGAGCTCCTCTTCCTTCCCACAAACTCAACAGCCCATGTCCTGTGTTAGTCAGGTTTCTATCACTATGACAAATACCTGAAGTAAATCAACTTCAAAAGGAGGAAAGGTTTATTGTGGCTTACAGTTTCAAAGGTTACAGTCCATGGTCAGCTGGCCCCATGGTTTTGGGCCTGTGGAGAGGCAGCACATCATGGTGAAGCATGTGGCAGAGGAAACTGTTCTCCTCATGGCAGCCAGGAAGGGGCTGGGGTATTTCCCTCAAAAAAGACCTAACTTACTAAGCCCCACCCCTAAATATTCCATCGCCTCCAGTAGCTTTGCAGGCTGGGGACCAAGCCTCTAGCATATGGGCCTGAGTAGGACACTCAAGATCCAAACTGCAAGCTATGAGTGATATATCGGAAATTGTTTCCTTAGCAGGAAAAAGAACTGGCTGAGGTAGAGGGGTAGAGAAAGATCACTTCATGCATAGGGTAACAGCTTGTAGAGGTTCAAAGGTTGATGAATGAAGCAGAAGGGCCTAGACCACATAAGAAATAATGGCACAGGACCAAGAGAAAGCGCATCCAGGGGAGGGTGTTGAATGCAATCCATAAGGCAGCAGCAATACTCACTATTGCTCTAAGTGCAGCCAAAACATTGGACAGAGGACCATAATGGTTAAAAGAAATAGGATGAATTATACACACCATCTAAGTGACAATCTTGGCTATACACCCTCCTAGCTGTGAGACCTTGGATACATGAATTCGTCTTCTAAGCTTCAGTCCCCATCTGTGGATGCTGAGAGCAGTCTGTTACTGAGCTGCAGCTGGTGAGCTCCTCTGTTCTGTCCAGAGGAGCCAGCCAGAGCTGGCCAGGATGCCTTGGCCTTGTGCTGCAGAGCTTCCTTCAAGCAGAGGGATGAGTGCTCGAGTTAATGTGGTCAGTTAGTAGCTGAAACCAAGAGCCTCAGAGAGCTGCTGGGTCAGTTGGGAGGTAATTAACCTTCTCAGCTTGAGATAGGAGCTCTGGGGGAGCTCCATGTGCTCCTTAGTGTCCTGGAGAGCCAGGCCTCTCTTGCCTGCAACATCATCCTCCATTAACAGTCTCTGGATTGACTGTCCTCCTTCTCTATCTCACTCTCTCTGCCCCCTCTCTCCTGCTTCTGGGCTCACTTTCCCATAAACATGTTCTAGCTAACATCTGATCTAGGCTCTGTGTTCTAGGAAGCTTAAACAAAGATAAATATTTTTCTTTTGTGGTGGCTGTAAGGACCAGAGGAGAAAATCCATGTAGAGCTTTTGAAGAGAAGAAGAGCACCCAAGTGACCAAGAGAAAAAGCAGCCGGACACCCATCTGGTCTGACATTCACAGATGGCCCCTCTGTTGTGAGATGCCCCCCTGATGCTCACAGCTGGGCCACATTGTACTCCTGCTGAAGGTAAATGACCTCACAAATCAACAACCTCAAACATGATCACTGATACCATGATACAGTGAGACAACAGCAAGCTCATTGTGAAATCACGAAATGCCAAACCTCTCCACCTCTCTCTCTCTCTTTCTCTTTTTCCTCCTTCCCTCCCCCTCTCCCTCCTTCCCTTTCTCTGGGTCTCTCTTTCTCTTACCTCCTTCCCTCCCTCTCTCTCTTCCCCTCCCTCCCTTTTGTTTCTGCTTCTTTATTAATTACAGCTTTAGCCTGTCTCTAGTCTGCCTTTCAAATATATACAATTTTTTAATTCCCATTCATAGAACTGTCCTACTTGCTGACAGCATCCAGGTCTCACATCCTTGACCCTTCTCTAATTACCCAACCAAAGCCTGAATTCTGTCCCCAGGTCCTTTCTCACCCTCTTTCTGAGATGCCCTTATCACCAGATCAGGCCCATTTTGCCACCATACTATGCCAATCACTGAAGCACCAAGTTTTGCCAAGAGAATGAGTTCATTCACAAAACGGCCACACGTGGAGGTGGAAGACCCAAGTCTTGAATCTTCCTCACTGAGGATAGAATTTGGGGTAGAAAAGCATTGTGATTTAAGGCATGGGGAAAGGTGATTAAGGTGAAGTAGCCAGCAGTCTACTCATGTGTTATCGATCTTTTTGACTCTTCATGAGATACCAGTTCAGAAAATGGCAGCATTGCCATCTGAGGTGGAGTCTTAGGCCTTCTGAGGTTAAAGGTCACACATTAGACACTTGCATGGGCCCAAGTGAATTGGTGGTGGTATCATCAAAAATGGTCTTCAAACCCCTAAAATGTAGTCAAGGTATCCATTATCCTCATAACCCAATGCCAGTGGTGTACGCTGCAGGAAAGCTTATGGGAGACCAATAATATATGCCTCAGCTGTATGACCTCCAGAATCAGTGATTTTTATTTTTTTTTAGGTTTTTATTTTTTATTTATTTATTTATTTATTTTATTATTGATATGTGCATACAAGGCTTGGGTCATTTCTCCCCCCTGCCCCCACTCCCTCCCTTACCACCCACTCTGCCCCTCCCTCTTCCCCCCTTACCCCCTCAATACCCAGCAGACACTATTTTGCCCTTATTTCTAATTTTGTTGTAGAGAGAGTATAAGCCATAATAGGAAGGAACAAGGGTTTTTGCTGGTTGAGATAAGGATAGCTATACAGGGAGTTGACTCACATTGATTTCCTGTGCATGTGTGTTACCTTCTAGGTTAATTCTTTTTGATCTCACCTTTTCTCTAGTTCCTGGTCCTCTTTTCCTATTGGCCTCAGTTGCTTTTAAAGTATCTGCTTTAGTTTCTCTGCGTTAAGGGCAACAAATGCTAGCTAATTTTTTAGGTGTCTTACCTATCCTCACCCCTCCCTTGTGTGCTAAAGCTTTTATCATGTTCTCAAAGTCCAATCCCATTGTTGTGTTTGCCCTTGATCTAATGTCCACATATGAGGGAGAACATACGATTTTTGGTCTTTTGGGCCAGGCTAACCTCACTCAGAATGATGTTCTCCAATTCCATCCATTTACCAGTGAATGATAACATTTCGTTCTTCTTCATGGCTGCATAAAATTCTGTTGTGTATAGATATCACATTTTCTTAATCCATTCGTCAGTGGTGGGGCATCTTGGCTGTTTCCATAACTTGGCTATTGTAAATAGTGCCGCAATAAACATGGGTGTGCAGGTGCCTCTGGAGTAACCTGTGTCACAGTCTTTTGGGTATATCCCCAAGAGTGGTTTTGCTGGATCAAATGGTAGATCAACACATTTAGCTTTTTAAGTAGCCTCCAAATTTTTTTCCAGAGTGGTTGTACTAGTCTACATTCCCACCAACAGTGTAAGAGGGTTCCTTTTTCCCCGCATCCTTGCCAACACCTGTTGTTGGTGGTGTTGCTGATGATGGCTATTCTAACAGGGGTGAGGTGGAATCTTAGTGTGGTTTTAATTTGCATTTCCTTTATTGCTAGAGATAGTGAGCATTTTTTCATGTGTTTTTGGCCATTTGAATTTCTTGAGAAAGTTCTGTTTAGTTCACTTGCCCATTTCTTTATTGGTTCACTAGTTTTGGGAGAATTTAGTTTTTTAAGTTCCCTATATATTCTGGTTATCAGTCCTTTGTCTGATGTATAGCTGGCAAATATTTTCTCCCACTCTGTGGGTGTTCTCTTCAGTTCAGAGACCATTTCTTTTGATGAGCAGAAGCTTTTTAGCTTTATGAGGTCCCATTTATCTATGCTATCTCTTAGTTGCTGTGCTGCTGGGGTTATGTTGAAAAAGTTCTTACCTATACCTACTAACTCCAGAGTATTTCCTACTCTTTCTTGTATCAACTTAAGAGTTTGGGGTCTGATATTAAGATCCTTGATCCATTTTGAGTTAATCTTGGTATAGGGTGATATACATGGATCTAGTTTCAGTTTTTTGCAGACTGCTAACCAGTTTTCCCAGCAGTTTTTGTTGGAGAGGCTGCTATTTCTCCATCGTATATTTTTAGCTCCTTTGTGAAAGATAAGTTGGTTATAGTTGTTTGGCTTCATATCTGGGTCCTCTATTCTGTTCCACTGGTCTTCATATCTGTTTTTGTGCCAGTACCATGCTGTTTTTATTGTTATTGCTTTGTAATATAGTTTGAAGTCAGGTATTGTGATACCTCCAGCATTGTTCTTTTGACTTAGTATTGCCTTGGCTATTCGTGGCCTCTTGTGTTTTCATATAAATTTCACGGTAGATTTTTCGATCTCTTTAATGAATGTCATTGGAATTTTGATGGGAATTGCATTAAACATGTAGATTACTTTTGGGAGTGTAGACATTTTTACTATGTTGATTCTACCAATCCATGAGCATGGGAGATCTCTCCACTTTCTATAGTCTTCCTCAACTTCTTTCTTCAGAAGTTTATAGTTTTCCTTGTAGAGGTCTTTCACATCTTTTGTTAGGTTTACACCTAGGTATTGGATTTTGTTTGAGGCTATTGTAAATGGAATTGTTTTCATATATTCTTTTTCAGTTTGCTCATTGTTAGTGTATAGAAATGCTAATGATTTTTCTATGTTGATTTTATATCCTGCTACCTTG